TCAGAAAAATGATGACCACTGTTTGTCTTGTCAGAGAAGAGTATATTTGTTTGTGGATTTTTGTTCTGAATTTTTTCATGATTACCATGTTACAGCCTGGAGAATTTGGTCCTATCTTTAAATCTCTATGTGCACTACAAGATGAAACAACAGCAGCATTTCTCACCTGGACATTCCTTGCTATACCCTTGCTAGAAGGGTATACTTCTAATGTTAATCACTATATTACAGGAGCAAAGAGAAAGAAGTTCATTTTTGCAGTTAATTTCAAGCTGCAGTGCAGTTTTTCAGAACTTACTTGAGCAAAATCAAAGAGTTTAATTTCTGTAGGTAGGTCTTGCTAATTTCTTTTTCTGAGATTGAAGTGTTGAGCTATCTGGAGTTGTTAGTCAGTCTGAATTATAGTGACAGCATGATGGATCAAACCCCTAAGACAGTTGCCTCCCACTCTGTTTTGTATAGTTTTAGGTATCAGTAGAACAGATTTTTGTTTACAGAAGCTTTCAAAAGTTTTATTTGGAGTCTGTTTATTTTAACTAGTCAGTTCAGGGTCTCTTTGTTGTATATTATTAAAGTGTAGAATGTATTGCATAATCCATGGGGTACAAGATAGAAATCCACTTTATAAATGTTAAAATAAATTATGTTGTATATAATATAGTGAATTTAGAGAACTAACGAAGAAGCATATGTTCTCTTAGGAGGTAAGTTTCCCAGAAGTTCTGCAAAGGACTTTACCTGAATCATCACTGTTTCAGAAGAGTTCCAGAAGATGGAGGTTTGATGCTTAAATTTCATTAGAATGTAAGAATAGTTCTGTTAGATAAGGAAAGACTAGTCCAATAACCAGTTCCCATAATGATCAGTCAGATATCTGAGAAAAGCTCCTATAGGTGTGTAGTGGGGTGGGGGGAAGGAGAAAGGAATAAAAGGAGGACGTTTGGCGGGAAGAGGAGGAGACAGAGGGAGTGCAAGAGGAGGAAGGAGGGGGTTTTCTGGGGGAAAAGCCGGAAGGTAAGGATAGGGAGGGATGCCTGGGGAAAAGGAGGCCTGAGAAGATAAGAAAAGAGGCTTAAGGTGGAAATGGAGAAAGAGGCCTGGGGAAAGGGAGAGGGAGTGAAGGCAATAAGGAGGATAGGAGAGGCTTCTGTGGGGCAAGCAGAAGAATCCACAAAGGAGCAGAGGCAGTGGAAGGAGAGCCCAGCAGGAAATTAGAGAGAAAGAGAAAGAGAGAGAGAGAGAGGGAGGGAGAGAGAAGGGGGGAGAGGGAGGGAAGGAGGGAGGGAGGGAGGGAGGGAGGGAGGGAGGAAGGAAGGAAGGAAGGAAGGAAGGAAGGAAGGAAGGAAGGAAGGAAAGTGGGCTGACCAGCCACATGAATACCATCTCATCATGTGACCCGCTTGCCGGGAAAAGACTGACCATCACCCCACCACATGACCTTCCTGCTGAGAGGAAGCTGACCACCATGACATTACATGATCCAGGCCAGTAGAGGTGCCTGAGTGAGGGACCAATGTGGATTGGTGGCCATACCAATAGGGCCAGGAGATCCGGATTCCAGCAGCCCTTCAGGGGTAGCGCTGCACAAGCCTCCCTCAATCCCCTGTGGAACACTTCTAATTCAGACTTGTATTTTCAGACAAAGAATTTCCAGGGCTAACAATCACAGAGCATTGTAGAGCTATCTCTTGTTCCTTCCTTTGATGTGGTTTTGGTAAAAATGGTATGAGTTTGCTAAAAAAATCAAAGATGTTGACATCTGGGTGCCCCATACTATTTGCAGAAAAAAACTTGTTTGTGCTGCTCCATGATCAGCTTTGTATTGATCCCTCAGTTTTATCCCTGCTCAGCAACTGAATCAATTTATTAAACCACCCAGAAACTAGTTTGTTTTGATATCCTGCAATTCTGTGAAGCTTGTGAATGAGACATTTTCTTGTTTGTGAAGACTCTTGCTTGGACTGATTCCTAAATTGTAGCTGTATCAAAAAGGACTTCCAAGGAGAAAGATGGCTTGATAGCTTGAGTCAAGCTACCATGTGCCTAGGAATTGTTTAGCTGGTCCTCAGAAAGCTGAAACAACATACTTCACTTTACAGGCTGATCCCAGACTGTCACTGAGAGGTGATTCTTATCAGTACTAGTAGTCCTCTATGACTATGTGCTCTGGCAGATTTGGTTCAACTTCATGAATGAGCATGAAACAGATGGGTATGAACCAGATACTGTAAAGTATGCAATCAATGAATGGATGGACAATGTGCTATGTAGTACATTACATACAACTCCTTTTTATTTAAGACAAGGAGGTCATGAAAATGAAAATTGGTAGTTTTGCTCAAGGATGAACTGGCAACTTGTAATTGTGAGCAGTCCACACTTTTAAAAAAGGAATTGGGCTTTTTCAATGAATGATTAAAGTGCTACTTGCATATTGTCAAAGGGAACTGTGCTAATCTAATCACAATCCATCTAGTAGTGCCACATCTGTCCAACACCTCCACCTCTTCATTTCCAATCATCCTTAAATAGTACGTAATTATTAATATCTACCAGCCTGTCAGCTAGAGCAGTGGATTTCACTGTCTTTCTATATTAAAGATATAGTGCACATCTAATTTTGTAGACAGTACTGGAATAAAACCTTAGTGAATATGTAACAGCATCAACCAGGTTTCATTGCTACCGGCCATAAACAATGTATGACCAATATTAAATATAAACAGTTATAGCCAGTCATAGAAACAGGTAAGCAAAATTAAGAGGAAGGAATAAGGACAGGACATGCAGTTTGGTAATACAGTCAGACAGATTCTTAGGGTAGCTTGAAAATAGTGTGAAACTATCCTATTTCATTTCATGAATTTTATAAAATTTCTTCTTTCATCTGTGACTTTCTAGAATTTCCTGACATTCTTTTTCTTACAAAGGAACTTTGTTAAGGAGACAAAAAGAGAAAAATTGCATGATATCATTTGATTGCTATTGTTATCTGTATGGAATCACTCATTAACTGGCCACTGTTGCATTATCGTAATATTATTTGGTTTAGAGCTACAGCAGAGATATTAAATAAAATAGTTTTTTAACTTAAGAAATTCCAGATAAGAAAAGGCCATCTGAGCCCTGGAGATGTGCTGTTAATAAATGGAAACAGTGTTGAACTAGACTGCGAAGGTATAAAATACTGTAATTTCTTATACCTACAGTAACTTTGTAGGTACTCTCTTTGTTTTTTAGACATATTACATACAAAGGCAATAACTTGTGTATGTATTATCTTCCTTCAGACATATACTATTCTGTATATAAATTGCAATAAGAAAAAGAGGGCTATTTTAAGTATTATTTCAGGCTACTCCAAAGCATATATGAGCAGTATCACCATAAAGATGGTGAGAATACTAAATAATTCTCATTGCTTGCCTTGGTCTAATTATATGCGAGGATATACCTATCATACTTAAAACATAATTGGGTGGCCTAGATATTGACATGTGCTCAAATATGACTTTGACAGAGTTAATCGCATTTCAATAACCTTTATAGAGCTATTATAACTTTTAAATCAGACTTGGGAATACTGTTCCAGATGTTATCCTAAAAGTAGACACTGGAACTAAACCCCCCATCCAATCCAAGGAACTGAGGGATCATGGGTACCTTCCAAACTTAATCTTGGTTTTCTCTCCAACCAAGCCTGTGAATTTTTGACTCACCTGACTCTTTTAGCAAAAATGTGCTAGCACAAGAAGGAGAGTCCTAATGGTTCTCAATGGGAAGGAAGGAAGGAAGGAAGGAAGGAAGGAAATAGAGCCATACTGATCAGATAAGAAATGCCTCATAAAAGTTGAATAGATTGTCTCTGGATGTTTAAATAATAGCACCTTGGGGATAGCTTGTGAACTCATGAAACAAATATTAAGTGTGTATGTATGTGTGTGTATGTATGTATGCATACATGCATATATACACAAAGCCCATCTATGCTTTGAAGGTGACCAGGATTTAGATGGAATTGGGGTTGAAAGATGGCTTGTTCATTCCCAAATAAATCCTGCTGGCTGTTTCAGTTTTTTTCTGGCAGCCTTTCTTCTTATAGAAATATGCTCAGCACGCCCAGGAAGAGAGAAATTCACACCATCCTAGGCATTTAAAACAGGGAAACTGAAAGAAAGTGCGCTAGAAGGGAGTGAAGTAACAAAACCTGACCCTTTATATTATTTTTCCATATCCCCTGCCTTGTATTACAAATTAAATGTACCAAAGATACATCACGTAAAGTGAGCTATAAGTTAAGGAGAGGTAAGAATTTGGCATGAGATTATCTTCATTTTCGTATATTGTATGTATGTGTGCCTGTTCTCATAAGAAAAAAAAATGCTTCTACCACATATGGTCTCATTTTGGGGGCATTCTGAAATGATATTTGTGTTGCTCCATTTTCTAATCTGAGCTTGAATAATTCAAGGCCTTGAAAAAAAGCTTCTTCCCTTTTTCCTCTAAAAACAAAATATGGAGCAGAATGCAGAGATAATACACCTTTCTTTCTGGTCTCTCTTCAGATGTATTACAAGCCTAATGAACAGCCCTGAGGGCTTTGTGAATTGTCTCTTGGCACAAAGAGGCTTTATTTTGTTAAGGAGAAAATAGTTTTCTCCTCATGCCTGTCAGGAAACCATACTGGGATGGAAGGCCTGTGCAATTTCTTTTTTTATGTGAAGTGGAACAAATATTTGATGGAATGAATAATTTTAGGGGACCTATTACCTCCTGAGCAAAGAATATTGTGGGCTCTTCCCTTCAAGTGTTCTTGATGGACAGTGGAAAGCTACTGCTATTTGTCCTTCATCATCAAGGCTCCAATAAATATAAGGAGACTGGGATTTATGAGCTTAGATTTTTTTAGATTCAAAGCCCACAGGTTACCCTAACATAGCTGGGGTAGAACTATATACCAGCCACTCTGGAACCTGTATAATCATTTCCTTTCTTTCTAGGAAACAAGGGAAAAGAAAGATCATCCAGAGATGACCACAAGATAAATGGAAACGCTAAATCACGGAACAACCTAGGATTTCTCTATGTGTCTAGCTATCATTTCAGCACTTTAACAAGACAAGGCTAAGTCTTCAAAGACAGCCAGAAAATTGTTCTGCAAACAAAAGGTTTGCCTGCTTCCTCCGATTTAAGCCTGCAGTTATATCCATAGAGATGGAACTTGGAGACTTGAAAATGGCATCGCTTCTTACTATTTCAGGATAAGGTTGGATTTGGGTTGGATTTGGGCCGGTTGTTGTAGCTGATTTTATTATCAGCCTGTTGGATATGTACATGCTTTCTGGAGAGTCTTAGCAAATTTTAAACTTATACACGAAGACTGCAAAGCAAAGTGTTTGCCAGCTTTTTGATTACTAATCAAGCAAAGTTAGAAAGCTCCCTGCTGCAACTGAAGTTTTGATTGGGAGGGGAAAAAAGAAAAAAAAGAAACCCTAATTGACAAAATCCAGAAATGGATTTTCAACTCTGGGCAAGATCTGAAAAAATAAACATGGTATTTGAGCATCTTTTTTTTTTCCAAGTATTTCATTTTGTTCTCTTTTCTGAAAGTTTTGCTTTTCATCTTAGTGTGGAAATATACAAAAATAGGACAATATAAAATGTCACAAATCTATGAAGGTATGTTTGAATATACAAAAGTATATTTAAAAATATGAAAAAGTAGGAATATGCGAAAGAGGAATAAAGACCCTTGTTTATAGTGACAAACCCTTAGCAATGCCCCTGAAGCTTCTGATAATTTGACCCCAAGCTGGGAGGCCTAAATAGAAGGAATCCAGCTTTTGTTTCCTCCAAACGCCTCTCCCATGCAATCCCATGTATACAATAGCATAACTGGTGAAAACTAGAATGTGCCTTTCTAATTTCACCAAGGGTCAGGAGGAAGGAAGGTTTAGTCACAAGAAACCAGGGCTGTGCATACTTCAGAAAAAAGGATTTGGAAGAATAGCTGTTACTTTAAGAGTCACATTAGCTTTATTTTTAATATTATTTTATTAAAGATTTTTTAAAAAAATAAGAAGATAAAAACTAAAATAAAGCAATATAAGACAAAGAAGAGAAAGAAATCAAACAGAAAACTAATGTGAAAGAATGGAAAATAAAAATAAAAAAGAAAGAAAAACAATACAAAGAAGTAGCTTCCAATCTTCTAAAAATAAATGCAATTATAATTTTACCTCTTTCTCTATAATTGCAACATAACTCTTTTCTTTCTGTAATCTATCATCAAAACCATAAATCATAATTTCATTTTATTCTGTACCATGCAGAATAATGTAAGGGATTTCCAGGAAGAATACATGTAGAAATGGTCTTTTCTTTGATCAAAAGAAGTCAGCTGCCTGAGCAAGTTGAATCATCTTCCCTACCATTCCTCCATAGTGCAGAATACTTCCATCTTTGTGAATACAATAATGTTGGTGTAATATTCATGTATAAAAGCAAAGTTCCAACACTTTTTCTGAAGAAGAGCCACATTAATGTTAATGAATTAATTCTTTTAAGCACTTGCACTTTTTTCAGTTGGTACAGAAGCTCCAAGTCTTTTGGATTATTTTTGAATTGTGTAGGCTTCTTAGATAACTTCTGATTTGCTGGCTAGAATAAGGACATCATAGATGGAACATTCTTCGTAAAGCGACAATCAGTTTTCTTAAAGAATCCAGTTCTTGTTTATCCCCAGTTTGTTAAATGTATGTATGTATGTATGTATGTATGTATGTATGTATGTATGTATGTATGTAGAACTGCTGCAGAAGACCCCTTGCATAAGCCTGATGATGGCAGATGAGATTCTGCCGAAACGTTGCCAAAGTGTTCTCAATCTTACACGGGAGAAGACCCGAATACACCAAGACTTGCATACCTGTACCCGTGAAAATCTACGAAGAGAGAGAGAGAGAGAGAGAGAGAGAGAGAGAGAGAGAGAGAGAGAGAGAGAGAGAGAGAGAGAGGAGCATCTACCAACATCCAAGGAGGAGGCCCAAGATGATGCATTTTCATTTATGCTCTTTGTAATAAATGCTGAACATGTGCTGAAATCTGAGATTATATTTAATAAAGTGATGTGCAATTAGTTTAGAAAAGCTGTTTATATGGATGTTACTCAGAAATCCATACTGTTGTTACTTTCTCTGGTTTGTTTTTTTCTCTTTTTTTCTCTTTTCCCAGTATATTCTGTTTAGCTTCATTGGTTTAATATGGAATTTCTCATTAAAGACTTGCAAAACTGCCTAGTTCTAGAACTAAATCATGCCTTTTAGAATTGGCAAAAAGTTTATTAAGTTCTGTAATTCTGGATTTTGAGAAGAAAAAAAAAGCAAAACACTTTCTATTTCTTGGAACTGAGCTTAAAAGAAAGAATGGCTAAGAGCTACTCAGCTAGATGGACTAAGGAGTAATAAGAGGTTCAGCCTGATGGGTGGCAATCTGTCTTTTATTGGATAAAGGATCTGCCAGGGAAGTTTTAAATGATTTTTTTTCTTCCTGATCCATCACAGCTCAAAGGAGAAGGACTGCTTCTGGAGTCAAAAAATAAGAAATCTTACATGTAAACTTTGAAAAGCCTGATAGGAGAGGATGAGGCTGTATTCTTCTGAAAAAGCAGTTTTACAGCCTGAAGTTGTTCTTGACTCTGCACTTATCCCTGAGTGCCCAAGTGAGCCCAGTGGCAAGGCCTGCCCTCTTTCAGCTGCACTTGGTTTATCAACTTTGTCCCTTTATGGTTTTTATGGTTCATGTCCTGGTTACCTTTGAAATTGATTATTATAATGTGCTTGATGTGAAGATGCCTTTAAAGGAAATCTACAAACTGCCGTGGCTCCAAAATGGGACAGCTGAACTTCTGTGCAGGATTTTTTTTTTTTTAATGTAAGCTACTCACTTTGCAAAATGAGATTTGAAAATTTAATTTAATAAATAAATAGGTGATACAGGTCCTCTCTCGGTTGCACTGGCTTCCTGTTGTTTTCCAAGACAGATTTGGCTTGTTTTAACACATAAATCACTTTATGGTTTGGATTCTGCCCACCTAATACACCCACCAAACTGGGAGCTCTATTCATCCTTTGAAGGATTTATTGCAAGTGTTGCATAGAAGAGAGGGCTGTCTTGAAGCTTCTAGGATCAGTGCCTGTTCAGTGGTGGCACCAGCATTGTAGTAGTCGCTCCTCCCAAGACATGGTTTTCATCCTCACCTACTGATTTTGGGATAACCTCGAAAATCTACTTTTATGAACAATCTTTCCTTTCTTAAACCCTGCATTTGGTGATGTTTTTATGTGATGTTTACATTTTGATTGATGTTTTATGCTTTATTGATTGATTGAAGTATCGATATTTTATGTTATATTGATGTTTTAAGGCTGATGTGGCTGCTACTAATGCTATTTCAGTGGTGTATGCTGTATGTAAACCACCTGGTCTGATGTATCAGAATGAGGGTATAAGTTTGACAATCAATAAATCAAATAAGAGAACTGTAGAGTCTTTCAATATAATCCATACATTATGCAGGTTATTTTAGGATATTTTGCTAACTCAGGCAAAAGTGAAGTGGCTTCCTTTGCAAAGGTCACATAGATAAGATAAGATACTCCAGCATTGGCAATAGTATAGTCATCCAACATCTGCTAAAGTAGTACCCCGAGTCCAGTGTCTATAAGCCATGGTGTAGAGCCTGCTCAGCTCTGCCTTTAGTCAGAAAGGTTGGTGTACTGCTCACTGGAATCTCATTTTATTTGACCTAATGATAGAGTGGGAAAGCAAAAGGCATGGCCTTGCCTTTTGTCTTTACTAAGCAGCAAGGAAATTCTCATAGGAATCATAGGATATTACCAACTGGCAGAAAGAAGGATTGGGTCAGACAGGATAGAAACTCAAATACTTATCAGTGGCTAAAATTTACTACACGGGCATGCTATAGTTCAGGGGTCTCCAACCTTAGTAACTTTAAGGCTCCCAGTTCCTCTGGGCGTTGAAGTCCACAAGTCTTAAAGTTGTCAAGGTTAGAGACCCCTGCTATAGTTTGAAACTTCTGATCTGTTTGGTTACAAAACTAATAAATAACTGAGCGTCTCCATTTGGCTGGTTTCCATTCATCAGTTGGAGTTAATCTTCAGTTTGAGATTAGCAAAGTTTTCTTTCAGACATCTCTTAGGGGGCTGCCTTAGCTCCTTTTTTTGGATCAAAGCAATAATTTTGGTAAATTTTTAAAAAGAATAGATAAGAAGAACAATGCCAGTCTCTTGTAATAAGACTTTATCTGCTAATAGTTCATTGCTTGAAAGGATAGCATTGAAGAGAGGTTTGACCAGTGCTAATTATGTGGAAATGCTTGCAGAGTTGCATGGATATTCTCAGAAATATGGTGTTTCTCAGAACACCATAGATTTACCCATCTTTGTAAAAAAAAATGTGTAGATCATTGCAAGATCAGTGTCATTTCCATGTTTTCCAGGACTGCTTTTTTTTTAACTCAGTGAAACTATGAAAATATTGGAATTTGCTTTATTCTTGCAATCTGGTTGAATTTTAAGTTTTGTAGAAATAAAACACAAGAAAGACAAACAAGATCTACCACAATACTGTAGTGTGTAATACTCCTATTCTTTCTTACAGCCAGGTAGAATTGCTATCTTCCTCAATATTCTGTTCCACTCCCCATCCAACCCAATTTTTGGTACCCCCCCGCCAATTAAGAGCATGGACATATTTAGTGTCCCTGCACACATACTACTCAGTTTGGGGGATATTCACCAACTGAGACTTTTGTTCCTAAGTAAAATTGTACTTCTGAAAAGATTGGACCTTTTCCTACTTCTGCAGATACTTACTTCTAATGTATGGGTACTTTTGTCTTGCCTATAGAAACACTTGTTTTAGCTGTGTCAGCATTGACACTCACATCAGAACATTGGAAACAGAAGGAATTGTTATGTAGTCATCTGTTTCCTGCAAAATACCGATTGGTAAACAAAGGTAATTAGGATGAGACCATACCTCTCCTCCCCTCTGCAGAATTATTGCTAGCTTCTTGAAGGCAAATCTATTCATATGCATTCCAATTTCTCTCTCTCTTTTAAAATTACTAGCTGGATGGGTTATCGCTATTACCACTAGGGGGCATATTACAGCTTGCATAGCATGTGGCAGCCTAACTGTAAGTTAACAAGAGTAACATAACCTTTCCATTTTTGTTTTTTTTTCTTTTTCTTTTCTCCTTTTATTGTATGGGATCATCTCTGGACACTGCTTGTACTTTGATCGCTCCAAAGTTTGGCATCATTCCTACAAAAGGAGAGAAATCGCGAGTGAGAGAAAAGAGGTCTTTGTTCTCCACAGCTGCTGTCATTCTGTAGAAAAATCTCAGCACAGGTATTAAACACTCATTATTGATCGGTCAGCCGGTGGTCCAGTTTTATCTTCTCATACCTGTCGGAGTGAGGTTATTTGCACTACAAATAATTTGGTTCCTGAGGTCTTGCTAAAGTTAAAAGCA